CTGAAGGGCGGCTCCCGGGCGATTTGCGGAATCGGACCTGGGACGACGAGAATCTCGCTGGTAAGGGGAATCGTCAGAAATGTCAGATAGCTGAAGGTCACTGTACAGAATGCTGGACTCACCAAGTAGTGGCTTCGCAGCCGATGATCTACAAGTCGATACAGGGTGCGGAGCACCCACCAGACGAACAGAGAGAAGGATGCGACCAAGATCGCCGACCGCAAAACTTTAATGAGATGTGCCAGCCAGGGTGTCCTTTCAGTTGGCGGGAGATGCTGGGCCATGTCGGAGCTTCCCACCTCAATGGCAAAGGGACGAGAGGGAGGATGGGAAATAATGAAGGGGGGTGGTGACAGCCAAGGTGATAGCGCCGTCTAGCAAAGTGGATTAGAGCTCGGAATGTAATTTTTACTGAGGCATCAAAGAGACTTACCACGGATCTTGCATTTAAATCCGAATTCATGTTACAGACGAAGGCGCAGTTCAGGCGGGATCAGATGGCAGCCGCAACAGAAGACGCATTGCTCGGCTTACTTCATAAAATTGCAGTTGCTTTCCATCCATATTGCCCATTGCGACTGAATACGTATTGAACCGGTATTTGGTATCGTCATTCGAAAAGGGGTCCTTGAGCAGCTTATCGAGGTGACTAGCTAGGTCGTGAGTGTCGACGATATCGCCGTCTTCAAAGAACGAGCTGTCTTCGAGGTCAAAGTCATCCATCACCCTATCCTCCAAGCCCACGTGCGCCAATCGTTCGTTCAGACCGGTGGTTCCTTGGGCCATGGAGTTGTGACGCATTGTAGGTGGATGGACTGAGCGATATCGGATATCGGAATGGGATAGGGAGGCAAGAGAACAGAACAGTCTGAGTTTGTTTATAGCTTACTTAAATAGGATAGGAGCTTTGCTCACTTGATATCAGTGGCTCATCAGGTTCATGCGCTGGTTCATGCCAATTATTGACCTGGACCATCACAGGGCTCTGGAGCCGCGCCTCGGGGCTTGAATTATCCAAGTGACTATCCCCTTTGCCTGGCTAATCACCTCCTTTACCGATCCTGGCGGTACAGTTCGAGGGTAACAAGCATTTCGACGCTGCATTGGTCGAGCGAGCTGTGCAGCGGCTTCGAGCCGCGGGAGCAGGTTACGTGCGATACCAGAGGTAGCTGCAAAGCTAGTGAACGGCGGGAGGCTGTCAAGGCAAGCAGTGGTGGAGCTGTCGAGGGAAGATCACCTTGTCGTCACATGTGCGAGTTGAAACACACTTGAAACGCTGGGCGCAGTGTGAATCGCTCCTATTGTCCAGCGCGCTGTCTATGACAGCTTCCATGACTGACTGATGGTACTCTGGCTAGGGTTGTGACAGCGAGAGGACTGACGCCATGGGAGGTTTGCGGTGTTCAATCACCCTCAAGATCGAGAGCCATATCAAAGAATTGGAAGTGCTCCAGTTGAGGTTCATATCCCCTCGGCGATCTCCGAAAAGTCCGGCCTGAGCCGAAACGGGATGAACCTCGATTACGTCACACGTGATAGCAATCTAAAATTTCAGGCAAAATCAACGAAGTTGAGAGATCATGAATATCTTGGGCCCTGGGGCCTCTTGAGGCGCCAAAAGTGAGGACCGGGTAATGTTCACCCCGCGCAAGAAGCTAGACAAGCTACCCAAGCTCAAAAAGACGAATTGGGGTTGTTTTGACTGCTCGAATCCCGCGCGCGTGGAAACCAAAGATTGCGTTGTGGAAACGTCCAAAAATGAAGATAGAAGTATGCGGATCGAACCATTGCATCAAAAAGACGCCAAAAAGCTGTCCGCTCTGTGGATTGAACACAGGACCTGCGGTAATCCGGTGAATTCTGTGAACTCTACGCTTCAGACCGTCGCTCTCCCACTGAGCTAAGCAGACTTGGGATGCAAGGGGACGCAAGTCAAATAATATATACGTTCAAAAGAATGGTCTGGCCTGTTTCCGCTTTGTTGCTCGCAGCAACCCCACAGAGTTGAACAAAAAGACGTTGCAAAGGATTTCAGAAGATTTAGTCCATTCTGATTCTGTGTTCGCATGCAGATGAACAATGCAGTCAACCTGCAGGTGTTTTCAAAAAGGTATACGCAACGCAACCTGAGAGCGTTACGGAAGACATGACGGGGGCCAGCGGCCGCCGCGGCTTCCCGCCGGCTGTCAGAATTGCGTCGAACCCGACGACCAAAGGTTGCTCCGCGTTGTTCCTCGCTTTAGCCTCCGCGTCTTGATGTCATGACATATTCCGCATGACGCATGGGCTGACTCAGCTCTCACACAGTTAAAAACAGTTTTTGCGGCGGAGCTGGCGGAACGACCGGGTCCTTTACCACTCCGTCCCAGCTCTTTGCCCTTTACAACTTTGTCTAAGTGCTAAGTATACAGCTACCAATTTCCGTCGGCTGTCTCTTTGATCCTGAGCTGTACCCTGGGCATTCCACTCCCATGCGACCGGCTACTTCAGCATTACAGAATGCGGAACGTTCTGGATAGCCTCCTGTGCGCGACGAGACGAGACAGCTTGCGATCCTTGCGGTGTCGGCGAAGAGGCAGCCTGAAGACGTCGGCGAAAGCGAGAAGCATATTGTAACTCTTACACTTGAGGAAACGGTTTTGAGATCATGGGAGTGTTGACACAAGCCCATGCGTTATCTTTGGCCGCTTCTGTACGCCTGAATGTCGGCATCTTGGCTCAGCAGAGGGCGTCCTAGCTGGCGTGATCTTAACTCTCGTTATGGCACGTCGTGTTTCTCGGTGCGGGACTGAACCCCAGAACTCATGTGAGCTCACCTGAGATTCACCTACCCGTGCATGACATGTATGGCACTAGCAAGCTGGTCTGGGATGGTTTCAAGCGGCGAGTGATTTCATATCCCTTTGCAAGAGTTCCCCACAAAACAGGGACAACATCGTTTCGGAACCATTATTCAGTTATTTCAGACTTGTCGTCTTCACTGGCGGATTGCCATGACAGATGCCACCGCGGCCTCGCGACCACGAAACCTTGTCGTCGGAACCAGGTGTCCGAGTGCGATGGACTGGTCGAAGTGGTAAGAGGCTGCGGAGGGACGGTCCGCAGGGTGAGCTGCAAGGTGGCTCTCACACGGCCACTGTTATGAACAGACATCTGACTCGTCTGCGATCTGTCTTGCCAGCGCTTTTGCCCCCGGTAAGAAGAGTGGAGCTGATGAGGTTTCTCCTGGTGCTTCTTGTTGCAATTAGATCCCGTGATAAGATCTGGACATGACTACATCAATTCTGGGCCCAAGAGTTCCACATCGTCGATCTCTGTGTTCCGATGTCGCATGAAACCCTGAAGGGCGCTTTGAAGGGGCATCCCCCGGCGGCTTCGGTGGTTGTTATCCCTTGCATCATCTCTTGCATTCGAGGGTGGAGGGTGATGCTCGCAAAACGCAGCTCTAGATCTTCGGATTATCACTATGCTGCTCGCCTTGCTTCCTTAACTGCCGTCCTTCCAAGAGCTTGCCCAAGCTGCTGTACAACGGAATTGATTTCACTCCAAGGAATCGCCCTCGTGCCACTTCGTCCGTCTAGCCCACACCAGCTCCCAGTCTTCCGAATAGCGAGCTCCTGGCTGCGGGATTGCAGCGGGTCATACGGTTATGCAGCAATAGGTTAAATAAGCTACCGTAAATACTTTGGAAAGCTGCTGTTCGCGTGCAGCATCCGACTTTCCCAGGCTCCCCGTAGCATGCAGCGGTTGTGCTTGCCACCAGCACCATCATCTACTAGAATGAGCAACATGACGGCATGCCATCCCGTTGTTCAAGCTTATTGTTCTTTGACGATTCTTCAGAACGACGTCATCGAACGTCTCACGTTGTCTTTGACTCTACCTCCTATGTCCGTCTGCGGGAGTTCATGCGGTCTCGCAGACAGCAAACACATACGCATAATTCACAGAGAAGGAGGTTTAACCGTCAATGTAACCGCATGATGATCCACATGTTGGCGCGATTAGAGGCGTGACGGAGTTCCGGAAGAGTTCCGCAAGAGGCTACGCGGCAGCGCAACTCCGATACTACCTAAATCGGCTCGTGATTGACCACAGTTTGCACAGCTAGTTTGACGTGTTGTAGGCCTTGTTGTCAAGGAAGCGTCCACCTCCGCAGCAGCGCCGCTTGTCCTCGCTCTCCACACAGCTAGCTCAGCTAGCTGCTGCGAACCAGAGGATGTGCCTTCACGGCCACTCCACAACAAAAGCTTGAGAAGCGCTCGGTGTGATAACCTCTGGCGCCTCTGACTTTGCAGTCTTGGAACTCAGTTGAAATTGGAAAAGAAGGAATGAGCGGTCAACATAGAATTTACCGCACCACAGCGTTCGTGTGAAAAACTTGAGCAAACAAGCAGGCAAATGCGATTTGGCATATTTCAAAGTCCCTTGTGCATAGTCCATATTCCTTACAACGTCCTAACCTGATGTGATGCGAAAGTAATAGATACAGAAGTAGAGTGACACGATAACAAGTGATGTGAGACTGAATGGTTTGTTGAATGCTAGTGTGATTGGTATGCTAGAGAAATGCTGATGTGATGTTCGGAGCAAGAATGATGATTTCGAAGAATGCACTGTGACGATGTTGATGCCGGTGATTATAAATATATTATACTGGCTGATATCAGACTTCGATATGCATGTCGCTGCAACCGTAGACCGAGTATGGTCCATATTCAGTTTCCAGTTCAGCGGTAGAGGAACAGCTACCTAGTTTCGCATTGTGACCGACGGTTTCTATTGGGTGGACCATGGTGGTTTCTGGCGTTTGACAAAGCTGCGAATCCGGACTTGAATGCGTTGAGGAAGTCAACTCATCCGAGCTCATATCTGAGGACATGGCATTCTGTAACGTAGATCTGACCATGGTGGGCATGTCGACAACCGGTGCGGAGCCGCCAGAAAGACCTGCTCGACGAGTATGTTGTCTGGAGATGTGCTCAAACCCCGTAGAAAAAGGTGTTTTCCTGGAGTTGGTGGCAGAGCCGATGTTCGATGATGTACGGCGAGTTGTCGGGCGAGAAGCGGTTAACATTGATCCACCATTCGCTGCCGTTTGAAATGCACGACTTGCAAGATTCGCAACGTTCGTATTTGATCGGGGCACATCGATGTTGGGAGCAAACGTTGATAATGACGGCACAGAGGCGATTCGAGGTGGCGGTGCGTACGATGACGACGATGCAGGGGCGACATCGCTGTCAGCAGACACGACCGGAATGACAGATGCTGTGGATTCCATTCTACCGACAACTTTCGGTCGTTTCGCCGGCAGAGGAGCTGTTTGACGCAAATCAGAGGGGGAGATGGTGGATAGAGGTCTTGGTGATGCTGAGACCGTTGGTTTCTGTGAGGCCAAGAGGGCAGCTTGTCTTCGCGCAAAGACTGCAGCATTGGAGTACTCTGCAGATATTCTGCTTTCAAAGTCTTCCACCTCTTCAGCAGTAGCATTCTGTAAAGGGGATAAAGATCAGCTGAGGAACATTTGCTAAAGGACATGTCAATGAAACGCACGAGTTGCCAATCAAGGTAGCCACACATTTCCCTCTCCATCTGATTCATCTCCTTCAATGCAAACATCTTCTGTCCGACAATGCACCAACTCTGATTGCTGTAGGTGTCATCGCAGACCATTTTCGAAGCGATCATGAAGGCTGAGATAAACAAGCGGTGTCCAGATGAACCCTTTGCCGAAGGGTAACGGAGTTTGAGACGCTGCAGGTAAACGAGTGCGACGATGGTGACAAAGTGTGGCAGTCGTGTGCGGTAAAGAGCGTAGGCGATGAAATGCGCAAGTGTTGGCTGAACGGTGGCTGGGTTGGTAGCTGGTGGGATATCCGGACACTGGAAGGTTCCTCGGATGAATCGACTGGCCATGCGCGCCATCTCCTCGTGACCATAATAGGGGTCTTTACGCGTTGACGACTTCTTCTCTGGCTGTTGAGGTATGGAAGCACTGCTTTCGGCAGCTGTCGCTTTCATGTCGGCGGTAGGAGATGCTGACTGTCTGCGGGTTGCGGCAGAGGATGACTCGGCCTGATTTGAGATGTTATTGTACTCAATCGTCATGTTGCCTTCTGTATCAGCTGTGCAGCAGAGATGCGAGCGATTCGCCAGCAAGGTGTCGTGGTTGAGGGTGATTCGAAAGAAAGATCCTAACTGTTATCTGTAGATGTAAAAACGTTGGCCATATGAGTATACGTTGTCACAGCAACAAAGGTGAATAGGAATCTCACAGGAATCGAACGAGTCTATATATGACGGAGGACGCGGTCCGAGGACGATTCCTTGAAATTTCCCCGATCGGAAAATCGATGTTTAATGATGACGACGGTAGCTACGACGGTTTTGTCGTTTGGTTTTGCGAAAGTGAATAGGACGAAGTGATCAATGTTGGCAGAGGGCAATATCGACGATCACCAAATGATCTTCAGGATATATATGAACGCAGACGTGGCAGTGGTTGGTAGAGCTCCCAGGAGAAAAGGAGTTAAAAAGACTTCAAATCGGCCATCCGCCTCCTAACTAGCATATTTTGCTTGTCAATACAGTCAGATCCGGTGAACCCCACCTAAACACCCGAAAAGACTGATCCCATCTAACGCTCTATGTGTAATGAAGTCCCCCTAATGCTAGCTCATTTCACCGGCCAGCGATGGATTGTGTCCGGCTACTCGGAAACTGAGGGGACCTCCTAACGTTCGGGCGGGGTAACCAGCTGCTCTACCTGCTAAGTTTGACACTGGCTAACGTTTCTCCAGCCTGACTAACTGCGCAAGGGAAAACAGGCTATGCTGGCGAAGTACACCCGCACCCCTCCAGAAGCGTCCACTCTTGCTAGCTGCCCAGATTCCGAAGCCATTCCAAT